TGGAGTGATTGAAGCACTACAAAAGCTGACATCAATAGCCGATGGATTTCGATTAGGATAATTAATAGTAGTGAAGCTACCATTGTTGAGGACACATAGATCAAATTCATCAATTAAATCGTATAACTGATGACCCCAACTTTTTGTGGTCATACACCCAAATGCTACATGGTGAGCATTGCAATCTCCAGACACATATATTGGCTTAGGCAAATCTCTAATTATATCACGCAGTTTACTTATTCTGAAGTTACGAGGGAGGGCAGTATACACATAAAATCGTTATATGTTTACCACTTACATATAACGATAATGCCACAGTCTGAATGTCTTGGTAAAATCTGGTTTGAATAATATTATATTTAAAATACGGTTTGATCAAAATTGCTACTCCACCGTGCTCATTTTGGGCGTTATGATAGTGGGAATTATATCCCGAAATTTTAAAATGCTGAGTATCTTTCAGCCAAGTTTCATTGAGTAGACAGATTGCTCATCTAAAATACAATAATACAATACAAACACTCACGCCTGTCAACCAGAGGGGTAGGCAGAGATTACGGACTTCCATTTGGCGCGCTCCTGACACACTTCTCTCGCCTCCTTTACATCCATATATTTACGCATACACACTCTTCGGTTAAGGGTACTCCTAATCTGGCCCATTTTCAATGTATCGCCGATTTGGTCGATAAATCTTCGTCTAGGGCGTCCCTTCCCGACCCTGCCGTTCACTTCTGCAACATAAATTTGCTTTGCAAACCACCGAAGCATTCCTTTCTTAATCCTTGTCACAACGTTATCTTGCAAACCACACTTTTGTCTTATCACACTATTTCTCACAAAACAAAGATCATGTATAACGTCCATGTCACACCTATGCTGGTAGTTGTTGGAAGCACTAAGCTCGAAGTTGTTGACCCGATGACAGTGTGCCGAGGGCTTGGTAGCGTGGTTCATCACCTACAGCGTTAGGCGTAGAGAAGAGGAACCCGTGGTTAATTAACAGCTGCGTGGACAATATTCCTGTAAGATTAAGTTGCACTTGTCGCAGTCAGTCCTTGGATGGGTGACCATTTTCTTAACATACCGAAATTGAGAGAATAGACAGTGCATCTGTATCCTCAGATACTTGGAAAACTTCCATATCTAATGCGTATTTAGCTAGTCTGTGTAAAATCATTATGTTTTTAAATACATGCAGCTACAATGATAAAAAATTTATATTTTTCAGGGACAGATGAAATAAAAAGAGAGTAGCCTCATAAATATATTTAGGCCTTTAAACAGAGAAGTGTTATTTCACTGATTCCCACAAGTTTCTTTACCTAAATTACTAAGTTTAAATTCATGTTTAAGTCAAATGTTAAAGTTAATGTCTTTAATATATTTAATTATTAATTATTGAATATTTGTAATTATTAAAATAATAAATATGTGACAAATAAAGCAGCCATTATGTACTCTGTGTCCTCGTTTTTTATTCCAACAGCAAAACATTTTATAAAATATATAAAGTATAAATAGGTATATACTTAATTAAGTAATATATTTATAGTTAATTAAATCTATGTTAAAAAAGAAATTATGGGGAAACTGTCCACGGCAGTAAAGTTTTATCCAAAGGTCATAGCTCGAAAATACAACTTTCCAATCTGGTTCTTGGGGGAAATTGTTTAAGTGTGTCGGTAGACTCACCTCTCCAGAGATTATTGCGACTTAGTACATTTTAAATTAAAATCCAACAAAAGGCAGGTAGATCCAGTTTATTCCACATGTTATTTGAATATTTTGTATGTATATTTTAGAACTATCAAGGTAAAACTTTAGTAAATTATTGATTATTTTCAGTTTCGTGCACTAAATCATTTTTTCCGCTTCCTTAACAATATTTTTTCGATAGTCCTTGTAAGTAAAATGTACATCACTAGCTAACGCACACAATGACAAATCATAAATTGGTTACACCATATATATAAGTAAAATAGAGGATAAGCAGTAAATTGCATATATATTTTTTTGTTATACAAATATCATGCAAACATGACCCTTGCCAACAAAAATATATCTGTCTCATTCTCACACGTTATGATTTTCAAATTTAAAAAAAGATAAGTACATATCTTAGACTTCAATTTTCTGTTGACAGTTTTCATAATTTCACCAAGCATGCAGCATGCAGCACCTTGAAGCATGACGCCATTTTAGGATGACGTTCATTTGTGGTACTTCACAGCAAAGAGAATATAATCACTTGGTTCACAGAACACTAATACCTTTATGTGGTAATTCGTCTGTTATCTAAGCCTTGTTCGGAGTTATTTTTCATTCAAAAAGGATTGTCATTTTTCAGGTTAGTTGTAATTTTTTCCATAATTGTATATTTTTTCGTGTGAATTGTGTTTCGTGTTCATGTTATGGGTTCTAAATCGTGTTTTCCGCTATTATCTAGAATTTCCAATTACTATTATCATGTAAATTTAAACAAGTAAACATTTTGATTGTTTACATTTTACATAGTGTTACCCTTACGTGCTGTCATGTTTTGAAATTATCGATATAAATTTTAACAATAATATTAATGTAGTCCTATGATCAAATAACGTTTTAGATACATAAACTGTATATTTAATCAAACGAACGATTGAGAGCCTTTCATTTAAGAAAAGAACTTGAAAATAGTGTAAATCGTAAATTTTCTATAATAGTTTTTTCATCAAAAAATTTGATGATGTTAAGATTATTTTTGATTGGTACTTAAGGATGCATAATATTTATTTTAGGTTGCCAAAAAATTAAGGCCTTCAAAAATTGTGGATTGATAATACAGGCCAGGAAAATATAAAACCTGCAGTAGTAAGAAGAATATGCTCCTTGCATTTTGAAAAAGAATGTATAAATAGAACGTTGGATGTAGTTCGGCTTAAGGATGATGTGGTTCATGTGTCTAAAATAAATTTACTGACTAAATAATATTATTTCGTCACGAATAAATGATATTAATCAGTATACATTATTGTTATTTTATTTATTTTTAATCTTTACTCTCTCGTTTACCTCCAGTATCCACCACTAACTACGCTAATGGTGGAAGTCATTACAACTTACAGGTTGTAAGCATAAGCTATAAACTTCATATTTTGTGGTGTTACACAAATGGGATATAATTAGAAATGAGTGTGGAAGTAGAAGTCAGAAGTGGCGCAGCCACCCCTATTGGATCGAAATGTTGCATGACAATTGGTTGTCATATGGTATGAACATGGGATGCTGAAGATTGAGAAATACGTTAGGATAGTTAAATGATTAATAGATTGTGTGAACGGTGATATGGTCAGAAAGGGGCTGCTCAACTCGATTAGATTACTGAGATAAATAAATAAATAATCCTTATTATCAAAAAAAATGATAACCGCTAGTAACTATGTATGAAAGAACACATGCTCCACAAACTTTAAATGAATCAAGATAAAGGTCAGTTTACTGCACGTTCATGGTAACTTGAACTGGTAACCGACCATTACCACTAAAGAAAGGTGTTGTTGAATTTTTATTGCGGCTTGGAAGTTAAGTGCGAGCGCTAGTCTGTGCAGATATAATGTGTATATATAGAAAGAAAACTTGATGGTGTCTCAGATCACTGTACGTAAAGCGAAGCGTGAAGGTACAGGACTAGCGCTTGCAACTAACTTCCCAGCCGCTGTAAAGTCTATATATATGATATAATTCACACAACCTGGACGCATACCGTGGGGGCGAGTTCGATGTGGTGCAGGACAAAACCACTGGGAAAAATTTAGGGGAGACTTCTGCCTAGTAGTGGGACAGCATGGGCTGGACAAAAAAAATCATACGAAGCCTAATACATTGTCTATAGTGGTGGTTTCGTTAATCTCTGCAGAGGAAAAAAAAATACATGCGTCGACTCAGGAACGCACGGATGGAGTGCCTTTGTTCAGATTGCCGTCGTTACGAAAAAACGTTAGCTCGTTGCACGAACTCAGTATAATATTCTGGTGCACGTCGTATACGTGTTCTGAAAAGAAAGGAGTTAAAGCTTCAATCAAGTGCTCTTTCCTTGATCTCTTCGCTCACTTTTGACTGTTGCTTCACCATACTTTAAAGCAATTATAGTTTTAAAACTTTCTTATTTTGAGTTGAACGTAAGATTTATTTATTTATTATCTCAATACAACTATTATTGCAGGATTGCAGGACCCAATGCAATAGTGTAGTGTTCTAATATTTGTTTATTTAATATATATCTATGAGATGGACAATACGTCATAATTTATTTAGCATCGATACCGAAAATATCGACAAAAACAACGCTATTTCTTGTGGGTGGAGTCGTCGCCATATTTGAGAAACGCTTGACTTCAGATCACGTGACCACATTTCATATGCTCTATTTTTCTTATATCTATGGTTTACACATTTTCGGGCTGTCAGGTCATCTATACGCCAGTATATTCTAAGTCTATGAAAATACTCTATTGCTACTACCGAGAGTTCGGTTTGGTAACACTGATTGGGGCACAGATCACAGAATTGGCCTAAAGGTCTAGATACCAGGCCATAAACTCCAAAAAAAAAAGATCACAGAATCACAGAACCACAAACTATATAAAAACCGTAGAGAGAGAATATTAGCTTGCTACATATTTATTTATCTATGGAGAATATGGAGTATACTCTACGATAAAAACACTATAACGTTCACAGAACCTTCCTTATATATTACTATACTCTTTGCACAGAACATATATTATAACCCTAAAGAGAAGACAGCATAAGATTGGGTTGGGGTAGGTCGAGGAGTTTGTTTTGGATTTAGGGACCCGTCATTGTTTATTAATTTAAATTTTCGACTTTATTTTATAAACTTAAATACCAGACAAATAATGATAAGTTCAATTAAAATAGCACATTTTCAATTAGTTTCGTGGTTCTTATGATAGAGTTAAATGAAGAAGTTATATTTCATGATTTGCTGAAAAATGATAGCGGGATCTCAGCAGAGAACAGAACAAAGAAATCCTTTAGTGTTTTTAGATATTGCAATTGATGGCGAACAAGGTGAGAAAAATAACGGAAACTAAGTACCGAATTGTAAATTTAATCACTGTGCATTATTGTAGTGCTTATAAGTGCAATTCTTGTATGATTTATTTATGATTATTATGAGTGACTTCAGTTCAGTGGGCCGAGGCCATTTAACATTGTTGTGATGAATAATTCATTTCTGTATGTTAATTTAAGGTGTTTGCAAAAGTTTATAAACAACGTTATTTTTGTTTCTCATACTGTATTGACTAGGTATATTGAATGTCATAAATAATAAAAAATCTATTGTGATGAGTTGATTGGCATTTTTAATCTTTATCTATAAAATATGTAACCAAGAATTCGAAAAGATATAACGGGAAATATTTATATGAGAAAGACATTTTTTCATTGTGGTATAATGTTTGCTCGCCTGATAAAAACAATAAAAAGGCATATTTCCATATTTTAATACTTAGTTAACTTTTAAGCAAAGTGTACTTAATACATTTGTTTTTTTCAGCTGGACGAATTGTGATTGAGTTGAGAGCAGACGTTGTACCTAAAACTGCAGAAAATTTTAGAGCATTATGTACAGGAGAAAAAGGGATAGGTGTTAATGGAAAACCATTATATTATAAGGGAGTGAGGTTTCATAAAGGTCTATATTTTTTTTTTCATTTCTTATTACAGCTTATCAAGACTCCACTGCTGAACATAGGCTACTCCACAGATTGCCCCATAGGTGGGATATTTGTGCCACCCTTTGTACTGACTGGATTAACTGTATTTTTTTTTGTTATTTTGAGTTGTCAAGAAGATGATGCCCATTATCTGTTTTTTACACTCAGTCGCCTTGTATGTCACCTACAGGATAATATAGAGTAGTGAATTCTATTCTGCCTCAACTATGTGGTAGTCTCCGTTTGACAAGGTCTCTTATCATTACATCATTACAGCACATCACAAGTCACTTCTGTACATAGGCCTCCCCCAAGGAATGTCACGAAGCGTGGTCCTCAGCCACCTGCATCCATTTATCCTTATATAGATTGTCACTCATCGTGTAGTGTACTGGATGCCACCTTGCACTTCACTATCTGGTTTCTGATGCATCAGTGGTCCATTCCAGAAATAAATGGCCAGCCGATTGCCATTACTTAACTGATCAATTAACATATTCGTCTAGTTCTACTACTGATATCCTCCTTACATAATCTATTGTGCAGAGAAATTCAAGCATAGCCCTCTCCATTGCTTGCTGAACAACCTTAATCTTCCTTTCACAGCCAGCAGTGAAGGACCATGTCTCAAATCTATATATTATCATTGGCAACACACACTGGTTGTACAGTGTACACCCATGTTTTAAAGTTTTGCTTAATAAATTAGTTTTATATTAATAATCAAATTATATAAATAATATGATCTTAAGCCCTAGTAAAGATGCAGTGTAATAACTTCCAAGTTATTATAATATTTTTAATAATGTTTTTAATAAATATAGTTGATATAGATTTACTCAAAATTGTAATAATTAATATAATTGCATGCATGTTTGCATGCTTTGGCCCATAGACATCTACATCTATATTTGATTAAGAATAAAAATGCAGATGTGTTGGTGGTAACAGCATCAATGGTAAATACATCATTCACCTTCGATTTGCCGACGAAATTGGCGTAATCACTGGAAGACTCGGCCTACTCAATAATGTCTCTCGGTGGATTGGTCTAAAAATGAACAAAGACAAGATGAAAATCATGTAGAAGGTCTTTGTCCCATATGCCAATATTTGTGCCGAAGCTCGAAGTTTTTAACAAGTTGCTTACCTAGGACAAATTGTTTTAGGTAGGTCTAACTTGGACCAAGAGGTAAATCAACAGATGCAATACAGGCTGGGCAGCATTTGGAAGGTTATGTTACATCTTCCCGTCACATACACCTCAAAACTAGAAAACAATAGTGAATTAATAAATAAAACATTAGTGTACAACTTATAATACAACCTATACAAGATCTGAGATGTGGTTTTTCACTGCTAGTTGTATGAAAAAGCTCACACTCCCTTAGCAAGCTATGGAGAGGGCTGGAATTGGAGTTTGTCTGTGTGATAGACTGCAATGAGAACATCCTCAGTAGAACTAGCATAGTCCAATATACCCAGTAGAACCAACATAGGCAACGGATAACAGGTTAAAAAGCTGAGCTGAATCCACAACCAATGGAGAAAAAAGGTTCTTTAAATAGTGACGACCTGGTAAGAGATGCAGGAAGCCCACGGATGCAGGTGGCTCAGGACTATGCTTTATGGCATTGCTTGTGGAAGGCCTATCAAAAGCAGTGGACTTGTGAAGAGCTGTAATGATAATGATGATGATGAATTCGATATTAAATGTATCCTATATATATTTCATTTCAGCTGTAAGTCAATTTATGGTGCAAGGTGGAGATATTATACATGGCGATGGAACTGGTGGTGAAAGTATATATGGACCAACATTTGAAGATGAAAACTTCTTTTTAAAGGTATTCCTTATATATTTTAATGTTGTAATGAGCTAAGGTTCTCAAGTGGAAGCTTCATACATCTGGTAACTAAAGTGTAGGGCGGCCCCTTACTAGATGAAGGGACCTGGTAGGAGATACAGGAAGTTGATGGAAGCAAGTGGCTCAGGACCTTGTTTTGTGGCGTTTCTTGGGGAAGACAATATTCAGTGGTAGACTTTAGGACTGTAACGATGATGACGAAGATAAGTGTATCCATTGGCAGGCTTACTGCCGATGTTCTAAATTCTTGATAAGCTTAATAAGTATTACAATAATATTTTGAGGACATTATTGTATACAACTATCTATATATAGTGTAAAATATAACATAACAACAAAATATATTTGGAACGAAGTTAGTTATCGGACGGTACGGGTCTTGTGGATGGAAGCTAGGCGACAAAAAGTTTAAGATTTTTTCGTCACTACCCTTTGTGTCATAGCGTATTTTATTTTAATTTCATTTTAATAGACGCTAACAATTAATTTACATTTTTTAATCAATAATATAATATGTTTATCAAGAATAATATACTATAAAACGAACTTCGTTCCAACTGAGTGTTCCACGACACTCACGCATGTTTTTTTATGATTTTAATTATTTGCAAGATTTAAAATGTAATTAAAAAATAAAAATAAATTTAAAATGTTTTTACAGCCATTGTAATCCACTTCTCTATTGCAAGCAGTTGTCACTTGGCTATAACAGTGGGGTGCGCCAAGACAAGATAGATTTTTTACAATTGTTAACGCTAATAATTTGCTGTCCTAACACCGGAAATGATGCTTAAGATCCACAAAACATTTATCAGGCCAATATTAGAATACGCATTTCAAGTCTGGAATCCATACTTTATCAAGGACATTGAAGCTTTGGAAAAAGTACAGCGTAGCTTCACTAAAGTACCACGGCTATTGAAACGGCAGTCTTATGAAGAATGTTTGAAAGTTTTAAAACTTACAACATTAAAAAGCCGCAGGGACCGAGGAGATCTAATTGAGACCTTTAAGATCTTAAATGGGCATTACGAAATTGAGGAGTTTGACAAATTGTTTATTCGTAATGAAAACTCTCACCTCAGGGGCCACCATCTTAAGCTATGTACCAGCTTTTCAAACAGCAATCCCCACAAGCACTTCATTTGTAACCGTGTAGTCACTGAGTGGAATAAGCTTCCAGAGAACGTAGTCTCAGCTCAAAACGTGAACCAATTCAAAAATAGATTAGATAATCACTTTCTGAACTGCAAAAAGAATAACTAGTGGACAAAAACAGGAAACAGGCATTATCAGTTGTCTCAACTGCCTGCCTGTTAATATAATAATAATCATAAAATAATAATATTAAACTTTAAATATGAATGAAAGCATTGTTAAGTTACACAGACATGTAATTTATGAAATAATGTAAATCCAATGAATGACACTAATTCTTACAGATTTTATTGCGTTTCATTAACTTACTTTTATTACTTTGCAGCACTCATGGCCTTGAGAGAACTGATGTCTTCAAAATCTCAATGACATAGTTAACCACGGCTACCATCAGCTGGAAATTATTAATTTTTGATCCGATCTACGCAGAAAAACTAACCGTGGCTAACTATTACATTGTTGGGATGTTGTACACCTCAATAAATCTGTAACAACTAGATTCATTTCATGTGTAATGTTCGCGTAAACATGAGAAATTTTTTTCATTCCTAATAATTTAAATAGTTTTCTATAAGCTATGATGTTACTCCACGTAAAATTTTTGTTTTAACTATTACCATGCAATAGAACCTACAAGATGTGTCATTGATTGACGAATAGCAAAATTTTTCAAAAAACATCAGATTTTGTTCCTTTTAAAAATATATATAATGCTATGCTGTCGCGCCGAATCCGCCAAAACCCAAATGTATATTTGCATTGGCTACCTTATACAAACTTCATACACTAGATGAGAGAATCCGTCGTAAATTCTGCCTTGGTAATGACAGACGGTTTCGAGAAACATAATTTACTACGAGGGTCAGGAATGCCAGTGCAAGCAAGGCTGACAGCTTCTAAGATATATTATAGATGTGTTCATGTATTGTCCCTCTTGAGAGTACCTTATTGAAGAACGGTAAAAACGCAGGTGCTTTGTAAAGCAAGACATCCATATTTTTAAGGGCAAACCCTTCCAGGAAATATATATTAAAGCTTGATCACAAGTGACTACAATATAATAACTGTAAAGCTTGTCACATGTGGTAGAGCCACACTGCAGCTATATATGGTTGGTAAGCACGAATGGGTCGGCTCGACCGGTGTAAGACCTCGCTCTTACAGAATACCATTGTGAAATAGCAGCTTAATGGTACCGTGGTTTGTATGGTGAGTGTAGAGAACCGGAGACCCTTCGTACTGGAAACCAGGCATTCTATATTAGTCCTCAGTTGTGACAACTGACAACGCATCTGCATTTTGGTTCTTAATTGGAGATAAACGTACATGTCTATGGGATACGGCATCCACTTATCATCAAGAGGATGCTGTGTCCCATAGTAGTTGTGCTCATTTGTCAGTCTTAACCTTACAGCCTATGCACTGTAACCACACAACAACCTACATACTAAGTCCACTGCTGAACCACAGGCTACCTACATAGATTGGCTCATAGAGCGAATATTTGCCATAGTTGCCACGCTTGGCAGGCGGGTTGGCAACCGCAGTTATTTTATTTTTCAGATGGTACTAGGAAGACGCTAATGCCCTGGTTTTTCTCTCTCTCTCTCTCGCTTCTGACGTACACCGCCATTACACGGTACCCTTATTCTATAAAAACCTGCCCTAAGTGTGCGTATTTTATTTAGTTATAAGGTGCAATGGGGCTGACATATTAAAAATAACAAAAGCCCCTTAATTAAAAAAGAATGAAAAAAATAGTGTGCATATTTATTTTGCTATGTTTGACTATGCCATTCATTGTTCTGTATTTAATTAAATATAACTTGATCGATTTTCGTCTTATAGCACGACGCGGGGGTCCTTAGTATGGCGAACATGGGTCGTCCGCATACGAACGGGTCGCAGTTCTGTATGACGACGGTGCCCTGTCCGCAGCTGGATGGACGGAACGTTGCATTCGGACATGTGCGGGCGGGACTCGGAATACTCACGGAGATACAGGCATCCGCCGATGAGAACAGCCGACCTACTATTGTAAGTTTCTATTACCTCCTTACCTCAGACTAACAAAGAAAGTAACACAAATGTGCGCACATTTCAATTAAATCATTATAAGTGGTAGCTCTACCTGACACTCGCGTCGGTAAAGCGGGGTCTTTGACAATACTCTTATTCCCCGGCTAATGCAGAGGTTTAAAAATCACTTACAATCTTTACATCTATACAAATAAATAAAATTGAAGTGTCTGTTTGTAGTGTCGAAATAACAGTTTTTTACTATATGCATATGAAAGTATATACGGTATTTATAACGAAAACACAATTTTTAAAATTTTTGTCTGTCGATCTGTTTGTTCCGACTAATCTCCGAAACAGCTGGACCGATTTCGACGGGACTTTCACTGACAGATAGCTGATGTTCTAAGGAGTAACTTAGGCTACTTATATTTGAGAAAATGAATTAGGGTTCTGTGCAATATAATTAAAACCCTAAATTACACGCAGGCGAAGTCGCGGGGAACAGCTAGTATGTAATAAAATAAATAATTAAAATAAATCAAAAACCCAGCTGCAAAGAAGACAATTTAAAAGCAATGCACTAAAATGACCGAAACAAGATTGAGAAAAGAAAACAAAATTAAAGTATTAACAAAGTAAGGTCTACTTCGGTTTAACAGACTATATTATGAGCTGAAATCCTAAGTTAAATATCCGCATTAAGCTTAGTAGCAGGCGGGACGCAATTACAAATTATAAACAGAAAGAAAATTACTTTATATCTCAGTGGCACTTCTCAGGAAAGAAGAAATAAGATATCTTTACTCTGTGTATTCAGAGAGTGGCGACAAGTGTTGTTAATTCCTGAACTGGAGAGTTCAGCATTTCAGCACTATATAAAAGTGATGTAGCTATATTGAATACAACTGCAGCATTGAAGAGGTACACAGTTAAATCCCAATCATTTTAACATAGCCTGTTAATAAATAGATGTTGCTAATGAAGAGAAATGGTCATAACGCTAATATCATAAACCAACAAAGCATATATATATATATATATATATATATATATGTATATATATATTACATATAAGTAATTAATTTATTTCCAAAACATAACATTTAGTTTCTTAATTAGATTACATTTTTTTAAATACAATAAAATAAGAAACGAGCACACAGTCCATCTGATGTTAAGTTGATGAAATGGCGCATAGACATCTACATCTATCTTCGATTAAGAATCAAAACGCAGATGCGTTGTCACTCTTGAGGACTAAGATGAAATGTTCATTCATTTCAGAAAATAAGGTCACCGGTTCTCTAAACTCACCTTACGAAATACAGCAGCGTTAAGCTGCTAATTCAGTTGAGCTGATCCATTCGTGCTATAACCATAATATAGCTGCAGCATGGCTTTACCACTTGAAAAATGTTGAATTTCTTTTAAATGTGGTGCCTGGGTAATTAGCAGAGATGTGTCAACCATACTGTTTTAGTGAGGTTCCTGGACCTTTTGAGATACACATGTCTTCGGAATATACATATTTTTTACAAGTTTTTTTTTTAACTTGCTTTCTTTATCAGTATTTCCAGTTTAAATTTGTAATCAATTTTTGAAGCGCTTTCTGACTTCCGATTGACCCGAAATTTGTCATATCTATGTATGTAATACTAGCCGTTCCCCGCGACTTCATCCGCGTGTAATTTAGGTTTTTAATTTTTTGCGCAGAATCATAATTCTTTTTCTTAAATAAAATTAGCATAAGTTACTCCTTATAAAATCAGCTGTCTGCCATTAAAAGTCCCATCAAAATCGGTCCAGCCGTTTCTGTGATTAGCCGGAACAAACAGGCAGACAGACAAAAATTTAAAAAATTGTGTTTTTGTTATAAGTACCGTATATACTTTCATATGCATTTAGTGAAAAGCTGTTATTTTGGCATTACAAACAGAAGCACCAGTTTCTTTTTTATAGGTGTTATTTCGATGTTGATGAAATAATCTAGTACCCTGGAGCTGATCAAATGATCTACCCAGATGCTGGCAACAATAATGTCTATATAAGCTTGTTTTTAAATAGATTTTATTAACATATACAATTACTTAGGACAATTTTTCATCATTACCGAATACAAACTAAATTAGAACTACACATAGAATTCAACCCTCTCAGAAATAACCTAATAAATATCCTTAATACCTGAGCCATGGGTTACTACTTTTATACAAGTAAATATAATCTTGCTTTGTTAAATTTTGATTAAAATTTAAAATAGATCACAGCAGTCAGTGAACACTTCTAAGTCTAAATAAGAAAGGCTACCCACCCATTGTCACCACTTATAAACCATTAGCTTGTTCCCAGGAGTGTGTGATTGAAGACTGTGGTGAGATAGAAGACCCGGATAACTGGGACGTATGTTGCAAAGATGGCACCGACGACGTGCTGCCCGAGTACCCAGAAGACTATCCTTGTGATCGACTTTCAGTAAGTAGTGCTTCGTCATCAGCCCTACAACGTAGCCTAATAAGTACTACTTGACCTGCGAACTGGGACCAACAGTTGTTCAAAAATTATTGTATTTCGTGTTTAATTAACGCAACTATGGCGAAATTCTCACCTATGAGGCAATCTATGGGGGAGGTTTGTGTTTGGCGGTGGACTTTTGTTGAGCGGTAATAATAAAAAAAAATAACTGCATTTTATATCTATGCCAAGTTTTAATCACCTGCATGAAACATTTAAAAAGAATATGTATGGACAGATGGACACCCAGGTTTTTCAACGTGGTAGGGCCATGTTGTAGCTATATTATGGTTGTAGCACAAATGGGTTTGCTCGACCAGGGGAAAATAGCAGCTTAATGCTGCTGTGTTTCGTATGGTGAGTGTAGAGAACCGGAGACCCTTTTTACTGGAAACGAGGCATTTCATTTTGCTCCTCAGGGGTGATAGCGCACCCGCATTTTGATTTTTAATCGAGGATAAATGTAGATGTCTATGGGCCTCATCATTCACTTACCATCAGGTGGACTGTGTGCTCGTTTGTCACCCATATTCTATAAAAAAAAGGTGATTATGTTACACATGTGTTACGTTTTGATAATTTTTTTAAGGAACACTTAAAATTAAGTTTTTATTGAGAAGTTGCAAGAGACATGTAGGTAATCGATGGATGCAGTTGGCTAAAGACCGTGCTTTGTGGCATTTCTTGGGAGAGACCTATGTTCAGTAGTGGACTTGTTAAGGGCTTTAATGATGATGATGATGAAATTGCCTCCTAGCGTGAACATAACATTTTTGTTTTAAAAAAATAAGTGTGTAGGTAATTACAATTAAAACGAACATGTGTTATATCCCCATTCTTCTTCAATTTGCTATGTTATTCCAGACAGAAGATATAATAACGAGTATTAGACGGGTGAAAGACAGCGGGAACAGTTACTTTGGTCGCGCGCGTTACAAAGCGGCCTCTCGGAAATACCTGAAGTGCGTGCGCTACCTCGCGCGCGCGGCCGACACCTTGCGCCACATCGAGCACTCGCGTCGGGAACATGGTCGGTCACCTTTTGGGTTTGGCAACTCTATTTATTGATGTTTAATTTAGGATCAAAAAAAGAAACAACACCTATACACATTCCACTGCTGAGCTCAGTCTTATCCCATTTCTTAGAGGTTTTTGAAGCAAAACATCCTATCTGAGATTTTTTTTAAAATCACAACAGCTTGTATACATTTTACCGTTGGGCAGCGTTTACTCATATCTGATAGGTGTTTAAATCATAACATACTGTATGCATCTTACGACTGGGCTTAGGCCTTTTCTCATATCTGAGCGATTTTTAAAGCAGGCAAAAATCTGCCGCGCTGACCCAATATTATGTGTTTGCTGTCTCCACATGTACCCGAAAAAAATGCAATATTTCCTCACGATGTTTTGCTTCACTGCTGTCCTTAGCACCATGTTACCACAGGTACAAAGCGCCCGTCGCAAATTCCACACTACGCAAACAACCCAGGTTCAAATTCATTTTAAATGCCGGTTTACCACTGCACGTCTGAGGAATAAAGTATTTCGAAGATGTACTAAATTAGACAACAACTGGAGCACCGCGACGGATATATTGGACATATCAGAGAGTATGTATAACTTAGATACTATGTAAAAGCTCATTAAACATGAATAAATGTAGTGCCACGCTGCAGCTATATTATGGTTGTAGCACGAATGGGTCGGCTTGACAGGACCACACTCTCTAAAGAATACCAGCATAAAATAGCAGCTGAATGCTGCTGATTCTTGTAATGAGTGTAGAGAACTGGAGACCCATTTTTCCAGGAGACAAGGCATTCCATCTCAGTCCTCAGGGGTGACTACGCATCTGCATTTTGATTCTTAATTGAATATAAATGTAGGTGTCTATGGGGCAGCGTCATGTTAAGTTTGTCACCCTTATTCTATATAATAAAAAAAAGAAATGAATACATCATTATACTCAATCTCATTGTTTATTTTTCTTTTCTACTTTTAGTTTACAATGTAATGGCGACGTACACACAACAATGTTACCTAAACTTAGCCGCTTGCTACTCAAAGCTGGGCGACCACAGAGCTTGCGTGAAATTTTGCACAGAGGTAATTCCCGTTCACGTTAGATTATACAATTCTGTTTGTGCCGTCACTAAACATTTGTTTTAATAAACCGTTTCTAAAACATATCTATTTCATAATATTACGTAGTGCGACAAATCTAAGAAATACCTTTTGAAAGCTGTCAGATTTATTAGACGAAAACATCGGCACTTCAGTGTTCAATTCTTAAGAGTTATCAATATCGATTCTTTAGATTTGGAAATGAACTAGTTCTATATTTATTTATCATCATCATCATCATTACAGCCCTTCACAAGTCCACTGCTGAACATAGGCCTCCCCCAAAGAATGCCACAAAGCACGGTCCTGAGCCACCTGCATCCATCGACTTCCTGCAAATCTTACCAGGTCGTCACTCCATCTAGTGGGGGGACGCCCTACACTTCGCCTGCCGGTACGAGGCTGCCACTCGAGAACCTTTCTTCCCCATCGGTTGTCGGTTCTTCGAGCTATATGGCCGGCCCATTGCCACTTCAGTTTACTAATCCGTTGGGCTATGTCGGTCACTCTGGTTCTACTGCGGATATCCTCATTTCTGAGTTTATCACGCAGAGAAACTCCGAGCATAGCCCTCTCCATAGCTCGCTGAGCGACCTTGAGCTTCCTCATCCGGCCAGCAGTGAAGGACCACGTCTCAGTTCCGTATGTCATCACTGGCAACACGCACTGGGTGTACAGTCTCGTTTTCAAGTTTTGAGGTATACCTGACGAGAAGATGTGCCGTAATTTCCCGAACGCTGCCCAACCGAGTTGAATCCGTCGATTGACCTCTCGGTCGAAGTTGGACTTACCTAGTCGGACTATTTGTCCCAGGTAAACATACTCGTCAACAACTTCGAGCTTAGTGTTCCCAACAACTACCGGCATAGGTGTGACATGGACATTAAACATGATCTTTGTTTTGTCCATGTTCATCTTAAGACCTATCCGTTGGGAAACACTATTGAGGTCATTGAGCATAGTGCTTAGGTCCTCCAGCGATTCTGCCATAAGGACTATATCGTCGGCAAATCGAAGGTGAGTGATGTACTCGCCATTGATGTTGATACCGTATCCTTTCCAGTCCAGAAGCTTGAAAACATCTTCCAATGCAGCGGTGAAGAGTTTCGGGGATATGACGTCACCCTGTCTTACACCTCTCTGCAATTGGATAGGTTTCGTACTCTGGTTCTGTACTCGGATAGCCATCGTAGCCCTACTGTACAAGCACTTCAACACTTCGATATACCGAGAGTCAACTTGGCATCGCTGAAGGGACTGCAGCACCGCCCAAATTTCGACGGAATCAAAGGCTTTCTCATAGTCCACATACGCCAGACATAGTGGCAAATTGTACTCCTCGGACTTCTGTACAATTTGCCGAAGGGTATGTATGTGGTCTATGGTGCTAAAGCCTTTTCGGAAACCGGCTTGTTCGGGAGGCTGGAAGTCGTCAAGTCTGCGCGCGAGACGATTCGTAATGACTCTCGAAAACAGCACGTAGACGCGGCTCAGAAGGGAAATCGGTCTGTAGTTCTTCAAGAGAGCGTTGTCGCCTTTCTTGAAGAACAAGACCACCGCACTTCTGCTCCACGCCTCCGGTGTAATGCCACCATGGAGGACGGAATTAAAGAGCTTCTGAAGGACTTCAAGTACCGGTTTTCCACCCGCTTTCAGAAGCTCCGCTGTAATTCCATCCTGGCCTGGGGCCTTGCCGTTTTTAAGGTGCTGGAGAGCCATTCTAATCTCGCTCAGACTGACGTCCGGGATATCATCGGAATAATGTCGGATAAGACTCGCTCTTGGATCGTTACTCACACTTGCGTGTGGCTCCAACGATGACGTGTACAGCTGCCCATAGAACCTCTCAATCTCACTCAAAATCTCAGGTGCCCCGGAAACGATGCTGCCACATTCGGTCTTCAGCTTTGACAGTTGGCTCTTTCTGGCAGACAGATCTCTGGCAAAGACTTTGGAGCCTTGGTTCCGCTCGATCGCTTCTTCAATACGAGCTGTATTGAAGTTGCGTAAGTCCCGCCGCATGCATTTGGAGATCTGTCTGTTCAGTTGCCTGTATGCTGTCAAATCTGTTGAAGAACGTAGCTTCATCTCCCGTCTAACAGCCATGAGATTAAGAGTGTGATCGGAGAGTTTTTGTGTTCTTCTGCGGCGGGTCTTGCAGAACTTAGCTCCGACCGCATGGACAGTTTCCACGAGCTTGTCATTCAAATCGTCCACTTCATTGCAGTCTTCTAGGCACTGAAAACGGTTTTGCAACTCGAGCTGAAAGGTTTCGGGACTTTGGATTAGAGCACGAGGGGGACGGAGCGTTGACTTCATTAGACGAGACCTCTCCAACTTAACGTTTAGGTTCAGTGTGCCTCTAACCATTCGGTGATCGCTGCCGGTTTTCACCCTCGCGATCACTGAGACATCACTGAACAGTTGTCGTCTGGTCGTCATAATGAAGTCAATCTCATTTTTTGTCGAACCGTCGGGGCTCGACCAGGTCCACTTCCTGTGGGGCCGCTTCTGGAAGAAAGAGTTCATCATAAAGAGTCCCTCTTTCTCCATGAAGTCGGCCAACTGCTGGCCCCTTGGGTTCCGTTGCCCTATTCCAAATTTCCCCACTTTCAGCTCACCGTTCTCTCTTGTGCCTAGTTTTGCATTGAAGTCTCCCATTAACACCGTATATTGGGTTTTGGAGGAATGCATGGCTCTAGAGATATCCTCATACATTTCCTCCACCTCCTGATCGGGGTGTGCCGAGGTTGGTGCGTAAACCTGTATGACCTTCAGCGAATACCGTTTGGTGATTCTGAGTATAAGGTACGCAACCCTCGTCGACACACTCTCAATCTTTACAACGTTGTTAACGAGAGACTTGTGGACGATAAATCCGACACCTCCTTGGGACAGATGGTCGCCCTCCCGGTGATAGAGCAAGTTGCCGGATTCGAGGATTACCGTGTCCTCCCCCTCTCTTCGGACTTCGGATAATCCTATAATATGCCAGCGTAACTTGTCTATCTCTTCTTCCAGCTCCACAATCTTCTCGTCAGTCCTCAGGGTGCGTGCGTTGTATGTTGCCAGGTCGAGTCGTTGTAGGTGGCAACCGAACCTCCACCGGAGATTCTTAGCACCCCCTGCCCCGCCGTTACCATGGTCGCCACCGTTACCAGGAATAGCGGGGCCGCCGGGGACTGGGGGCCGTCTCTTCGTAACTTTCATTATGGGGGGTATATTGCCATAGTTGCCACGCTTGGCGAGCGGGTTGGCAACCGCAGTTTTTTATTGTATTTTGTCGTTACCAGGAAGATGCTGCTGCCCATCTCCTGCCTGTTTCCCTTTGTCGCCTTTTACGACACCCACGGGAAGATATGGGGTAGTGGATATTCTTAACCGCCACTACACGGTTATTTATTTATAGTTATATATAATTATTTCCGGATAAGACATTTATAATGATGACAGGCCAAATGAGATTGCCAAAAAGCCTGTGCCTCAGACAGTACAGAGATGAATCTATGTCATTTGAAAGTACAGATCTTCTATATAAAGAATTAGAAAAGTACATATGGCTACGCAGTAGTGGACAAAATTTATGAAGGTTTAGAAAAGTTGATTTTGTCACTCAGTTTTTATCATAATTACACAATGTAGATATTCATAAAGTTATAAGTTCATGTGTATTATATATGTTAATGTGTATACATTTGTCCCAAATGTTTAGGGCACATAACAGTTTAGCTAAAAAAAACAGGGACAGCAGTTTTTTTCAGTCTGAAAATATTTATATTGTTTGTAATTATTGTTTGAAAAATCTCTGAAAGAAACAATGAAAAGTAAAGAGCTAAGCATCTGTCAAAAGAAAACATTCAAAACCTGTATTCTCCCCTGCATCACATATGATTATGAGACATGGTCCCTCAACCAAAATCACCAGGAGAAACTTGTGAAATGCCAAAAAGCAATGGAGAGAAGTATGTTGGGAATAAAATTCAAAGATAGGGTTAACAAAGAGTAAATAAGAAAACAAACCGAGGTTGCTGACATTCTGACTCCGAATCGACCATCTGAAATGGGGCTAGACAGGTCACATGATTCGTTACAAGATCAACAAATGTAGCAAGCAGGTAACCCTATGGTACCCAAGAGATGGCGTCAGAAAACAGGTTCAACCAACCAGAATATGGGAAGATGATATTGACCTGACCTTGGAACCATACTGGACAAGGGTAGCAGCAGACAGAGTCCAACGTTAACAGTTGGAGGAGGCCTATGCCAAAAGGCACACCGAACTGAGGGATTTAACTAGTCCTACAGTATGAACTTAAATAGAATTATGTACAACCCCAAAGTTTGTACTATTATATATTAGTACTATTATTGCTCGAAGTATATTAGACAGAATATAAAACAACGTGCATTGTTTTATGCATTTAATCATTTAATGTTATTAGTACATTATCAAGAAATGCAGCTGGTGGAACAATACTTTCTTTGTGTCTCGTTCATCCCAAGTACCACCTACATAAACACCTCGCTCTCTGATGTGTTCGCCATAATATGAGTGAGCCTGTTGCACTTGGTGTAAGGCCCTAAAGAAATGAGTTTCAAATTAATTGTATCTAAATGTGGAAAACCATTAGGTTTGCATCAATACTTCTAAATAACACTCTTCGTCCATTTGAATTAAACTTGTATAAACTGACTTAAATAATTAGTTTAATTAACAAGTTCAACCTTGTCGTTGCTATTTGAGCAATTTCATCTGCATTTTCAGATTTTCTATCACTTTGTGAAACTTATTTATAAGTGCAGCAGCAACCCTAAAATCTTCCATCAAATGTGCAGAAGCTAAGTTGAAATATGTTTCTAAACAGTTTAAAATCACCTGCCATTACTTATTCCACAACCCATTTACAAAGTATAACACATCTGTTTTTATTAGCTTTTAGAGTCGATAACTGTGTTTCTCCTTCGTCTCTGGTTTTAGGTTTATTTACTGTGAAACCAAGAGCTTCTAAATTGGAAATAGAATCTCTAAAGCCACGGTCTAAAATGAATACATATTTTTGATGAAAGTATTGAAACAAGCCCCCAACCCTAGAAACTAAATGATTCATTATTTCTGCATCTGTTTGAGTTGCCGCAAAAGGTTCAAACAAATCTATAATATATTCATCGCAACAGACTACTGAAACTGGTTTTGGTTATGATATTTATGAAGACTGTATGTCTTTTTTTGGTATTTATAATTCCAGCTCTTTTGCACATAGAGATAGGTACCATTACATTGTACAATAGTTCAACTGTTAGAGGAATCAGGCTGAGGATTTCCAAATAACTTCCCAGGTGTATTGGTGTTTCTTTCTGCCACTTCTTGGTGAGATATGTGAGACGCTCCAAGATGTAGGTAGTGCAACAAAGTGATTAGACAGACAATTTCTCACAAGCTTCATTTTGTTCTGTAGATTTGATTTAGGAATCCTAAAAATACAAGATATCCTAGCATCGCTATCACCAGTCCTATATTTGAATAAAAGCATTGCTAATGCCGTTTTTTAATTTTTGGAAACAACAGAGTGTATTGGTATGCTATTATGCAATTCTATGAATTCCTGGGTAGTGCGCCCTGTTCAATAGTGACATACATGATTGGGCGTAGATTCTATGTTTTCAAAATAAATAACATTTTCCTCATGTTTATTATCTAACGAGCTTTCAATTTGATTTGCTGTGAAAGTATTAGGTAAACTTGTGTTCTCTAATAATAATTCCCATTCACTGGAATGTAAATATTCTTCACATACCAGGCGCTTCGAGGCACATAAAGAATATCCAAGAACAATGCTGATTTAATCAAAGTACGCACTAAACGACCTGCACTACGCTGACAGCCATCAAATATGCATCTTTTAGCACAACGTCTATAATTCGCAAGGACAATTGTTGATACATGTTGAATGTTGCTTACTGCTGATCCAGGGGGAGAAGTGGAGGATTTGGCACCTGAATTTCTTGAATAGCTTAGTTTCATTCTATGTTTTCAAATCTGTTAGAATTAACAATATTTCTTTGGGCTACTTCTCTGTTAGCTCTCGCATAACAACCATAACACAAAACGTTGGCTGCTATGACCTAAAAAAAATATAAAACTTTACCACATTGTTCACTTTCATTTATGAGACAAGCTGTTTAAAACACGAAATAAAGATGAATGTTATGGTATATGTATTTTGGAAAGTTAACACCTTTAATGCAGATTGATTATTTTGAGGAGTTAGTTTTAGTTAACAGTACAGTATTATTATAAATATTCGAGTTTAGAGATTAACAATACTACATATGGGTCAAGTGATTTGTTTAACTATTGTATCTGATTTGTAGAGTGAGTTTAAAAAATACTGAAAATAATTACTTACATGCTGATGCTTGATGATACAACTAAGGCGAGAAAACTAAATTCTGAAATGCTGTGTTTTCTTGCACGTGCAACTGATCTACCACATGTCGCTCGATGTTGATCAGGCTAAAAAGTTCTACTTTATTATCTAAATAGACCGAACTTTACGTACATTTCAAGTGACGCACAAATACGCAGTCACATGTTGTTGTTGGCGCACTCATGATAATAGCAAAATAATTTAAGTGTATATATGTTTTTTTTAAACGTTACCCCCACACTAGGATTTTCTCCTGTGTCGTGGAGGCAGTTTACAAACATAAATTGCACAAGGACAAACATCCAGACCCGGAACAATTATTTGTAGGCCATACAAATACTTGTTCCGTGCGGGATTCGAACCCGCGACCCCCAGCGCAACAACTGATTGCTAAGCCACTGCGCCACGGAGCCGTCGTATGTGCGCCAACAACAACATGATTTAACTGCATATGTACGCCAATATGACCAACAACAACATGATTTAAGTGCGCATGTGTGCGCCAACAACAACATGATTTAAGTGCGCATGTGTGCGCCAACAACAACATGGTTTAAGTGCATATGTGTGCGCCAACGTCAACATGATTTAAGTGCACATGTGTGCGCCAATAACAACATGGTTTAAGTGCAGATGTGTGCGCCAACAATAACATGGTTTAAGTGTAAACGTGTGCGTCAACAACAACATGATTTAAGTGAATGTGACTGTTCTGTGGCGCAGTGGCTTAGCATTTTAGGCATGTACTTTTTAAAAACGAAATAAAATTTATTTTATTTTATTTATTTAGCATTGAGTTGCGGTGCGGTTGGTTAGGGCCTCGGGTTCGAATCCTGCACGGAACAAGTATTTGTATGGCCTACAAATAAATGTTCCAAGTCTCGATGTTTGTCGTTGTGCAATTTATGTATGTAAGTACCCCCACGGTACAGGAGAAAATTCTACTGTGGGGCGACGTTTTTATAAATAACAAGATACATCTATAACATATGTGTGCGCAAAGAAAGAAGATGTGTGCGTGAGTGCATGTTAAGAAGTTGAGCATGGTTTTAGCATCACTTCATTGTGACTTATTTGTTGGACTGAGTTTTAATTTAGTTTAAACCTTTATATGTATTATAGTGTAAAACTGTTTTTTTGTAGATATACTTGTAGTTTATAATAAATATTGTTTCTCTAATAGGTACTTGAGATAGACCCAACGAACGAGAAAGCATTATACCGTCGGGGCCAAGCAAATTTCGCACTAAAAAACTACGAAGCGGCGTTAGAGGACCTCAAGCAAGCTAACAACGTATCTCCTAAAAACAAAGCGGTGCAGAAGCTTCTAGAAGAGGTAATAGTAACGAATAAGAGCTACAACGAACTTCAGAAACAGAGACTGTCAAAATTTTTTCGTGAGCAAACGGAGAAAAGTGTCACGGTCGGACATCACTGAGCTTAGGTTGAAAGTGATGATTTATAAGTTTTAAACGTGGAAAGAAGAACCTGGAATGTTTTATTTTAACTCGTGCGTCTTGTGGTTGTATATGGAGAATCTGTGTTTTTGATATACCAACCATAGCTTTCAGTATTTATTTAAGCCTATGAGAATTTTTAAATACAGTCCACTTTACGGTAACTGGATGCCATGACTCAAATGCCCAAATACTCAAACACTGTTGAATTTAAGATGCTATTAAGTTTCGTGATGTCTCTATCATTTTAAGTCAAACTGACTGTGACACCACTAAACTTAACACATCGTATTATAATTGAGTAGCGTTTGAGTATTTGGCCAAAAGATCTATCTATCCTCGAGTAAAAATCACAATAGAGATGCAATATCAAATGCAGTGACGCGGAAAAAAACTAGTTTAGTATAAAAATAGACCGTCCTTATGGTATGCTCATTGTTCTTGCTACTTTTACACTTTCATCATGTCGGTACCGGTTTATAAATATATAAAAATTATAAGAAATAAAAATAAATACGTGTGTTAACCCTATTTAAATGAAGATGTACTCTCAATGGTAACATCCTTTTACATGGTAAAACCAAGCTGCAGCTATATTATGGAGCACAAATGGATCTGCTCGATCGGAGCAGGACCACGCTCTCACAGAATACCAGCGTAAAATAGCATCTTAATGCTATTGTTGTTCCCTTAGGTGAGTGTAGAGAACCGGAGACCCTTTTTACTGCAAACGAGGCATTCCGTCTTAGTCCTCAGGAGTGACAACGCATTTGCATTTTGATTCTTTAAAGGATAGATGCAGATGTTTATGGGTCGCAGCCAGTGGAGTAGCGTGCCTTAGACGGGCCCTGTATCAAAATTCATTGGGGGCCCCAAATGAAGAGTAAAGATTTTTCACAAAAACATCAAAAACGCTTGCATTGAATAAAATAATTATTTATATTGAATTCCTGTCCCATAAAAGTCCTAAGAATTTTTGCTTATACACTCTCGGGGCCCCTGTAGCCCGGGGGCCCCGTATCATTTATACGGATGATATGGCTGTAGCTACGGCCCTGGTCTCAGCACTCACCATCTGTTGTTGTTGATTGTTAATCGAGGATAGATGTTATTGTCTGTAGGCCACAGCATGCACTTACTTCAAGGTCGATTGTGTGCATGTTATGAAGGGTGATAACCCTTAATCATATAAAAAGTAGAATGTTCCAGGTTGCTTCAATACGTTCCATGTGGTAATGAGAGTGGTAAGCTTGATTTATGAATTTAATCACACTGCCATTGTCTTTCAAATAAATAAGGCGTATAATAAAAATGCGCCAATTTATTTCTAAATCCGTCATAAGGTTTTTATTCCGTTGTAAAGTTAGGTTTGTTTAAGTGTGATCAGAAAGAAAAGTTTGACAAATTAGTGTTTACTATTTTGCGATTTTTTTAAAATATTTTTATACCCAATTTGTGATATTATTCTTTGTAGTATAATGTGTTTCTCCGTTGATTCATATTTGTGTTATTCTGTTTGTAATTGAATGATGAATACAATTTATATTTATTCTAAATTATACGAAGAAATTTATGTTCAGATTGGTAGCAATTGTTTGTTAATATTTCGAATTTAAGGCAAATGTTTAATTGCGTTAGGTTATAGCAATATAATTTCATATTGTTATTATTTTCATAAGTTGTGCAATATTAAATTAATATTGGCGGACGATTATGACACGTAAATTAAATGCTAGCCATTGAAGTAATGTGTATTACGTACTAAAACAGACACCGCGAACAAAATTTGTGCGGGGTACGTGGAAAAAAGCACAAAGTGCAGTTTTGTGGCACAGACTAAGTAAGTTTGAGCCAACAGGCTTTAACGTATATTGCAAACAGCCAAGTATAGGTGTCTCTTCTAGTATGTAGTACATATTACTTCTATGATGCCAGCGAGCTGCCATGATCATTGAATGTTCCCATCAAACAAGGCAAGAAAAACCTGTAGGTACATCGAAATTTGATAACGAAATCAAATGACTAAAAAAACACTGTGATTACACCTTTACAAATGTAAAGGTATTATCGTAGTTTTTTTTTCATATTTTGTAATGCCTTTGTGATTTAATTTTAGGCTATTTATTAAAGGCTGAGTTGGGTTACACTTGATGAAGTTACATCATGCGTTCTTTCGTTCATTCACCATTACAGCCCGTCAAAACATAGATTTCATTATAGGACAGGCGCAGTATTTTATCACAGCGTCGACGTCGTCCTAGACTTTTCCTTCTCACAACGCATATGCATTTTGATTCTTAATCGATGATAGATGTGCGCTTGTTTGTCAGCGACAGTGGGTTAACCGACACAACGCAGATTACCAGACCGTCAAATAGCATATTCTCCATATTATTCTTAAGGTGGAGTATGCCCTCGTTTGTCACTCTTATTTCATAATAAAAACCTTTTTCGGTGAAAAATTACACTTTTACTAACGGTAATATTAAATCACGTGTCACGTAGCTCATGCCATAATAAATAGACGACTGTCACCGATATTTTGTTTTAAATTATGCTATTTTTTTTAAATGTGTTATAGATATCTAGGTATTTAGAATAACATTGAGAAATGGCAGTGCTGGCAAGTGTGAACCAAGTATGTAGTATAAGTAAAAATTATAGATGGTGCCTATACTGTAGGTAGGCGATTGGATAAACAAATTGATCCTAGTTGTATTGTACTGATGATGTGAATCACGTATGTGACAGCAGGCAAGACAGGCATTAAAATAACTTCCTTGCCTCAATTACTACTAAATTTGTATATTTTGTACTAAATCTAACTTGTCGGTTATTTAAAAAATACCGTGATAATTATAGATAGGTAGGTAGGTACTTAGCTAATATTTAATAATTATTAATTCAATTTTAGTAGGTACATAAAATACATAATATTATTCAAAGATGTGTTCTTTTCTAAAGTTATTAATTAGAAATTTCTGTGTGGTTGGAAAACAAATATCATCACCATCATCATCATTACATCTCACAAATCATCTGCTAAACATTAGTCAATATATAAGTACTGTAAGGATATAAAAAAATATACAGCTACTATTCCATTGTGCTAAAGACGTGCGCTCCGGAGTTGGCATCGGTTCTAACGTGTCATTTCCGGTACTCCTACTACCTAGGCGTAGTCCCGAACTCATAGAAGATGACTTTAGCGCACCCGATTCTTAAATAGGGCAAACGCACATACTCGTGCAACTACAGGTCTATCGCCATCACCTCACCAAAATAATGGAGTCCATTAAGACTTGCCAGCTAATTAGGTACCTTGAGGATTACCAGCTGGTTAGTTTCCACCAATAAGGTTTCCGACGGGATCGCACAGCTGTTGAGCTTTTAACTTACCTGGCTCATAGATTGGCGGCAGCACTAGAATCTAAGGCGGAATACCTTGGCGGTTAGCCTGGACATAGCGAAGGCCTTTGATCGGGTTTTGCATAAAGCTCTAGTTCCAAAGCTTCCTTTTTATGGGCGTCCTGAAAAATTATGCAATTGGATCATCAGTTTTCTTTCAGATCGAAGCATCAAGGTCGTTGTAGACGATCCATGTTCCGAATACAAGTCTATTAAAGCTGGTGTTACACAAGGCTGCGTGCTGTCACCTACGCTGTTTCTTCTGCATGTCATGTTGCAAACCAGTAACATTCATAGCTATGCATATAATAACACTGTTGATAGTTCTTAAAACGGCCGTGCCGATATTTCCCGGGAATACTTCATAAAGTGCCGGACCAAACTTGTATCTAAAGTCAAGTCAAGTCTAAAGTCAAGTGGGAACACTAAATCTGGTCCAATTTAACACTCAGAAGACACAGGTTGGCGCATTTACCTCTAAAAAGAACGTCTTTGCCAAATCTCTTCAATTTCAGGGCACTCCCCTTACTTCCTTCTACCAAGCATCGGAATTCTCGGCATCGAAAGTGACGTTCAGTTCCGAGGTCCTTTGCCTAAATTAGTATCTACGAGGGTTTGCGTGCTTATTAGTGTGCGACAGTACTTCAAGTCGGTAGGCACACATTTTATTTTTATGATAGAAAATAAAGTTCGTCAGTATAAAAACAAAAGATTAAAAATAATATACTGTAATAAATCATTGTTGGCAGGAGTGTAATATACAGGGATATTTTGCAATATCCGACCAAATTTGCAGAGAAAGTTCAGAATAAGTAATATAAACGAATGATGAAGAAAAATTAATTAGAAAAAATCTCAAACGTTCTGTCCTTTTTATCTTTTAAATTCGAAATGCATGGTAATGCATTATTTTAACCGATTGTCATTCATAAATATTTAACGCCTACTATTTTACTACGCGCGCACACATTCGTGGGGCCTGAATTCCTCCTACGCTGACGTCGGTTGCGTACGGTCGGTCGCGTAAGCGTACGTAGCAAACTACGCGCCGCGACCTAAGGGTCGATCGGTCGGCAAAAACATCGTGAATTGAATCGCACACAGAGGGTGAGAGTGTGCGATTAAATTCTTGTTACCCATAAATCATATTCAATTTGGGATTATTTGAAATAAAAGTAGATAGAGTATTTACTCGTATTTTTAAATAACTGCAATAACAAAGTAACGTTTATATATCTGAACTTAATTTTAAATTTTGGCTACTGTTTGAAAAATAACCCTGTATAATCGAAATTTTTAGGTTTGTTCGGATTGTCTTTTGATCTCTTATAATTGCGTATTATATGTACGTATTATGTTTTTAGATTAAATTATGTAAGGTTTCGTGCACCGAAAATAAATTTATTTTTATCAAAATAGTCGTAATTTTACGTAACGATATTAGTTCGGACGATGTCTTTAATTTTAATAAGTTTAGTCACAGCCTAAGAAGAACATACAGTCAGTCATCGCGTTTGATGTTGTCGGAAAAGCCGACATAAACAATAAATCGCTAGGGTTGTCAGAACGGGAA